CAAGCAGCCTCCGCGCCGGGCGCCCGCCTCGCGGCCCTGCAGGCTGCGGCCGTCTCTGCGTCTGACCCTGGAATCATATTTTTGCAGCCTTGTCCCCGACTCCTCTACGATGGCTGAGAATACCTGAGGGGTCCGCGTGGATTCAAAACTTGATTTATGTTCCGTTGTGTTTGCTCAGCACTACCTGTAACATTTTACTGAATTAAAACTGTTTAATTCTGTCGCACAATGTGAATACATTTCGTAAATTTATTTTTAAATGTGTAAATATCAATTGCTTTACGTTGCTATGATGATATTTCTTTTATAAATCAGAATAAACCTTGTGGATTGACCTCAGGCTCCGACAGTTCCGTGGGACTTTCTGGTGTCCACAGTAACTTTTCTTTAATGAATTCAGTTTATTGGTACATTTTAGGTACACATAATGATCACATTCATCACAGCGAATTTGTACCTGTTTACATGATACAAATTGATTTTTTTTTTTGTATTCCCTTCCCCTCGCTTCAAGCCCCACTTCCTCACCTTTTTTTTTGTCTGAGACAGGGTCTCGCTATGCAGTTCAGGCTGAACTTGAGCTCACTTTGTACCCAGGCTGGCCTCGAACTTGCAAGGATCCTCCTGCCTCAGCCTCCCTAGTGCAGGGATTACAGGTGTGCACCACCACGCCCGGCTTCCTCACCTTATTTATAAAAGCTTTGTTTCCGTTCTTCCTTCTTCCCTCACTTTTTTACGTTTCCCTCCCGTTCCCCCTCTCTAGTTCCCCTTCATATTTCACAATATCTATTATATATTTTGGTTCCTATTCACACTTTTGGCTTCTCACACTGGAGAAATAACACAGTATTTACACATGTGACATTTCACCGAAGAGTATGGTCCCAGCCAGGCTTGGTGGTGCACGCCTGTGATCCCAGTACTTGGGAGGCTGAGGCAGGAGGACTGCTGCGAGTTCAACACCAGCTTGAGTTACAAAGATTTAAATCCCAGCACTCGGAGGGCTGAGGCAGGAGGATCACTGTGACTTCAAGACCAGCCTGGGCTACAAAGTGAGCTCAAGGCCAGCCTCAACTGCATAGAGACCCTGTCTCAAAAAGACAGAGGAAAAAAAAAAAAAAAAAAGGCTTACAATGAAAATAATCTCATATGAACTTCTAAGTAAGTAGTAAAGGGCAATTATTGGTAAGTGGTTTTGCAAGTACTCGAAAAAAAGTTTATAAGGTTCATAGGTGAAACAGTCCCGACTCCTTAACAAAGACTACTGCGCACTCACTAGGTGCCATTCAAGGTTTCTGCGCTGGGGAACCGCCCGGAAGTCCCTTTCCAGCGGGGATGCACCTGACTCATCCGCCACCTCAGGCTAAATTCGACTTTTAGAAATTTCACGCACATCTCCCCCCCATCTCCCCCGCCCCGCACGGTGAGCTCCGAGGGAGTCGCTGGCCGACCTTGGAAGCAGGGCTAGCAAAGAGGGGGCCAAACAGAGTCGACAGCTATGCGGGGCCTCAGCCTTTGTTTCATGTTCCAGAAATAAGAAATACAGATGTTTAAATTTAGCTCCCAGCCGGGCGTGGTGGTGCGCACCTGCAACCCCAGCACTGGGAGGCTGAGGCAGGAGGAGCGCCCTATGTTGGAGACCAGCCTGGGCTACAAAGTGAGCTCAAGACCAGCCTGAACTGCACAGTGAGACTCTGTCTCTAAATATATAAATAAATAAATTGCCACCAAGCCGGGCGTGGTGGCGCACGCCTGTAATCCCAGCACTAGGGAGGCTGAGGCAGGAGGATCCTTGCAAGTTCGAGGCCAGCCTGGGCTACAGAGTGAGGCCCTGCCCCAGAACCGATTTTTAATTGATTAATTAATTAATTAGTGTAGCCCGCGACACAGTGCATCGCTGGCTTCTCTCTGCGGGAATAAAACGCCCTGGCAGGAACTCCTCTCGCAGTCGTGGCCGCCCCGACGGAAGACGGACGGACACGCGGCCCGCCCGACGTCCGCTGGCGACTCCGCCCCTCGCAGACAGGAAGGGAGACGCACGCGGACGAGGACGGACGCCGGGCACCGGCCAGGGCGCGCTCCGCTCCGTCACCGCCGTCTCCGCCCCCGGGAGGCGGTTCCTGCCTCTGGGTGGTTTCAGCACGCGCATGCGCTCACACCGCAGCGTGGGGCTGTCTGGCGCATGCGCTCACACCGCGGGGCGGGCCGGTCTCGCGCATGCGTTCACAAGGAGGCGGGGACCTGTCTCGCGCACGCGCAGGCGGATTGACGGAACGTGCAGATGTCCTTACCGGGCAGTCAGGCGCCCCGCGCTCAGCGTCCGCAGGTCCCGCAGCGCCTCCTCCGGCCGCGCAGTGAACGGCGCCCGGCGACAGCGTGCTTCTCGCGCTCAAGACCTGCCGTGTGCACATCTCTACTCTAGTATCTTTTTCTTTGTGAGACGGGGTCTTATTATGCAGCTCAGGCTGGCCTTGAGCTCACTTTGTAGCCCAGGCTGGCCTCGAACTCTCAAGGATCCTCCTGCCTCAGCCTCCCGAGTGCTGGGATTACAGGCTAGCGCTACCACGCCCGGCTCTCTAGAACCTTTTACGATACGCTTTAAAAACAAAACACTACATAGAAAGTGCTTGGAGTTGCTCTCCTATCAGTGGTTCATGGCTTCTCTGACCATCAGAGAAGCAGGTGTGTAACCTCTCACAGCTGTCACTTCTGATACCAGCCTTTTTAATTTTTTTTGCCGGGCGTGGTGACGCACGCAGGAGGATCGTTGTGAGTTCGAGACCAGCCTGGGCTACAAAGTGAGCTCAAGTCCAGCCCGAACTGCATAACGAGACCCTGTCTCAAAAAGACAAAAAAAAAAATTTTTTTTTTTTTGACAGGGTCTTGCTAAAGTGTCCACAGTGGGCTTGAATTTTCAATCCTCCTGCCTCAGCCTCCTACAGCTCTGCACCACATCTGGCCAGTGGTAATGTTAAATCATAAAACAAACAGAAAAAACGCAGAGCATCTGCAGAAGCTCAGAGTAGGAAAGGGCCGGGGGAACAGCTGTGTCACGGCACCTGCCTGGCAAGTGCAAGGTCCTGAGTTCGACTCCTGATTCCAAAAAAAAGTATAAGAGTAGAAGGAAAAAAAGATGAATTTCACTCCCTTAAGTACTAATGTTCAGCAAAAGAGAACACACACGAATAGATCAGACTACAGGAGACATTGGGACTTCTCACTATAAGAGATTATTGCGTAGGGCCGGGAAGATAGCTCAGGGAGACAGGGCCTGCCTGGCAAGGGAGAGGTCCTGAGTTCAATTCCCGATACAAAAAAAAAAAAAAAAAGAGGGATTAATGTCTAGAAGATTCAAAGAGCTTTTCCAGATCAACAAGTAAAAGAATACTTACAGAAAAATGAGCGAACAATGAATAGACAATTCATCTAGTGAAAGACCAGGTGTCAAACAAGCATTAACCACGTGATGGAACGTGAGAAACGGAGAGGGCGCTAAAACCCTAAACCTGTGGGCCCCTGCAGGCTGGGAAGCAGAGGCAGGAAGATCACAATCTGAGCCGAACCTGGGCAGTTTGCAACTTAGTAAGACTTTGTCTCAAAACAAAATATGAAAAATAGAAAGCCTGACGGCCCTGAGTTTAAACTCCTGGACCACAATCAACCAATAAGTAAAATAAAAATAAAATTATACTACTTCAGACTCATCCAAGTAGCAAAAATTAGAAAGTCTGATGCTACTAAGTATTGGCAAAGGATGTAGGGAGATAAAAATTCCTGTGCCCCAGAGGAAATGAGGGAAGATAAACTGGCAAATCCAATCTAGAAAGCAGTGTTTGCATTTACATTAAATAGAAATGTGTCCTCTGGCCGTATGTGTCTGCCCCATACCTCAACATGTCCCAGGGTAATTTTTTTTTCTTTGTTTTTTCGTTTTTCGAGACAGGGTCTCATGATGTAGTTCACCCTGACCTTGAACTCACTGGGTAGCCCAGGCTGGCCTCAAACTCACAGGGATCTTCCTGCCCCAGCCTCCCAAGACTACAGATGTGCACCACCATGCCTGGCTATCCAGGGTAATTACTGCTCCAATCCTTAAGGGCGGACATAGATCCCCATTTATTGTTAACTGAGGTACCTATCATTAGAAAAACATAAATTAAATGTAAAGGATATTTGTTATGGAGTAATATAATCTATGGAAACAGACCTCAAAAATGTTGAGTAAAAAGAAGATACATAGCACAAAGTCACTTCTACAGTTTGTTTTAAAGATACAAAAAGCTGGGTGTGGTGGCGCACGCCTGTGATCACTGCACTCAGGAGGCTGAGGCAGGAGGATCGGATCGCTGCGACTTCGAGGCCAGCCTTGGCTACATATTGAATTCAAGGCCAGCCTGAACTGCAGAGTGAGACCCTGCCTGAAAAAGACAAAAATTAATTAATTAATTAATTAAATTTTTAAAAGATTCCGTGAATTATTTAAAAAATAAAGAGATACAAAGAGTGCTGCTGGGGGCCGGGGATATAGCTCAGCAGCACAGCGCCTGCCTGGCAAGCTCGAGGTCCTGAGTTCGATTCCTGGTACCAAAAAGAGAAAGTTAAAAAAAAAAAAAAGAGAAAGTGCTACTAGATGTAGTGGCACATGTAATCCGAGCACTCAGGAGGCTGAGGCAGGAGCATCACGATGAGTCCGAGGCCCACCTGGGCCACACAGTGAGTTCGAGCACAGTCTGCACTACATAGTGAAATTCTGTCTCAAAAAAAAAAGTGTTATGTACATGTACCAATTCCTAGCTGGGGTGGAAGCACATGACTGGAATCCCAGCATTCAGGTAGCCAAGGCTGAAGGATCAGGAGTTGAAGACCAGCCTAAACTACCTAGTGAGATCCTGTCTTTACAAAAAGTGTATACATAAGTCATTTCAGTGACCCATAGTTATACAGTATCAAACATCACATTCCTTAGAGCCGGGCGTGGTGGCGCATGCCTGTAATCCCGGCACTCGGGAGGCTGAGGCAGGAGGATCGTGCGAGTTCGAGACCAGCCTGGGCTACAAAGTGAGCTCAAGGCCAGTCTGCACTGCATAGCGAGACCATGTCTCAAAAAAAAAAAAAATCCGATCCCATTTCATCACCACCGCTAAGAAAACCCCGCATCCATTAGGAATCGTCGGATGAAGAGCAGGCCCTGCTCCCTGGAGTCACCATGGGCAGCGATGTCAGCCCGAGGCCACTCTTTCCTCCTGGTGGGTACAGCAGCGGACTCTGCCCTGCCCACCCGGGCCCTTCCTAGGGCCTCCAACCTCCTGCCGCGGTGGGGGAAGGGCTGGCTCCTCGCC